GGGTGCTTTGGGAGGAACGGTTGGTGAAAGGGCTGGAGGGAGGCGGCATGTTTGGCCTTGCAGGAATAGGCCTTGGGTTACTGCTGGTAATCCTGTCTTCCTCTTGTGGGATTAGAGGAGGTCAGAACATGTGGTTTCCTTGCCGTTTTTGCAGTCATGAATCAAGATCAACTTGACATCAGTTGGCATGGTCTTTTAGGTTTAAATAACAGAAGATGCTGGTGGCTGAGGGGGCAATGAAGGGGAAGAAATCAAGGTTAGCATTCAGGTTCATGGCTTAAGCAACCAGTTGGACAGTGGCAGCCATTTACCAAGATGGGAGAAAGGGAGGAAGGCCTCTGTTGGGGATGTTGCTTGTAAGACCAGGAGTTGAGGGTGTCAGGGAAGCAGTGGACTTATGCCTAAGGCTGAGACTCAGAAACTAGTTTGGGCTAGAGATAGTCAATTGGGAGTTATAGGCATTGTGGTACAGTGAATGTTAAGTATATGGCTCTTCTAACTATGGACTTTGTGACTCCCACCAGACGACTGAGTAAAAAAAAAAAAAAAAAACTGCCATCGAGCCATTTATGACTCACAGTGACCCCTCCTTGGGTTTCTGAGGTGGTATCTCTATGGAAGAATATTGCCCAGTCTTCCTTCTGAGGAATGGCTGGTGGATTTGAACCGTCAGTCTTCTGGTTAGCAGTCAAATGCCTTAGGCATTGTGACACCAGAGCTCCCAGATGACTGGGTAGGACTATGCAAACATAAGGTTTAAAAACTAAAAGACCATGAGACTATGGCCCTAATCGGTCAAACCCAGGAAAACATTCCTGCAATATATTTGGTTACGTCTAATAATTACTGTAACTGCCTGCTATGTGCTTTATTATATATGCGAATATATGTGTATACAGTCTCATAGTTGCATAATATAGATGGAGTTTAAAGCTGTGGAGGTTAAGGGGCTAAAGCATAGTCTAGCCCCTAGTGGAGAGCTGCACATTCAGAGGACAGGTAGAAGAAAAGGAGAAATGAGGTCCCTTCATCTTTGGTGTATGAGCTCAGTGGACTTCAATTTTTCTCCAGAATGGCTTGCAAGAAACCCACATTACTAATGAAAAAGTTTCTCAATTTATAGAATAATTGCATATAAAACCCCGTGATTTTACTATCACTCAGTTTTTAATTTAGAAATAAATGCTTTGAGCCATATACTCTGCTGTGCTAAAATTTGGCATGTTTTCATTAGGATATATGTTATGAGCCTGTACAAAGGGATTTTCAATGTCATCATGTGCCATAAAAGCTGGAAATGATTCTAAAACCTATATACATATTGCAGATTAAGATAAATAATTTTCATTATTTGTGATTATAACATGATTTTAATATATGTATATATTTTTAATTAAATAATGCCCAATTCTCCTATAGTTTGCACGTAGAACAATTCTAAGTTCAGCATAAATTAGTTTCATTGAGAGGAAAGTCCTCTCAAATTACTATGGCTAGAAATTTTTTTTTTCTTCTACAGGATGACTCTGGGAATCTTTGCAAATTGTTACTTTTATTTGAAAGTCAAGTACTTACTTCATCAGCAGAAGAAAAAACTACAAACTGACATTAAGGAAAATGGTGGACATTTTTCCTTTACATTAAATCCCCAGGTATTTGCAAATTTTATAACTGTATGATCAACATCCTGTGTTATGGGGACATGGGTCATGGTAAGAATGAACAGAGAAAATTTGGCAGCAGGAGAATAGCATTAGCTGGAGAGTCAGTGAAGGCAGGAAAAATTGTGATATTGCTAACGTGGAAGTTAGGCCAGAGAGGGTCAGTGGAAGAAAGACAGCCTTGTCCTGTGTTCTCCCTGTTTTAGTTGCAAGATGATCTCAGATGCATATGGATATGATATTATTAGAAAGCAGCTAGAGTTGTAAAAAGAAATAATTTCAGGCTAGCCAAAAATGTCAAAGGAGAAAAGCTATAGTGCACATCATTTGCAAAAAGAACACTGTAGTCACTGGCCAGAATGTCAACTCTAGTGATATTGAGGGTGAGGTTCATGGGGGATAGACACAAAAATATGCATTGTGAACTGGTCTCTGGGGTATAACTTTTACTGTATGTTTTATTTGTTTAAAACTGAAGTAAACCACCTTCCATTTCTGTAGGCCTGGCGTTTAAGATACAGAATTTCACAGCTAGATGGAAACTTGAAAATAATTAAATTTAAGCTTCTCTTTTTTAACCACCTCATTGTAAGAAGAGAAAATCGAATTCCAAAGATTCTTCACAGTGCCAATTAGGTTACAGGGCTGCAAACACAGGCTTTGACTCTTGGGATTCTTCCTCAAGAAATTGATCGGGGCAACCTAGTCATCTCTACCCTAGGACTCTGAGTTTAGGGGCATGGTGATAGGTGAGCCCAGTTTGTCCTGTACAGTTCAGCTGCAGCTGGATGCTTGGTTTTTCTCTGTTGTGTAGTAGTTTTTCTGTGAATATCAGAAATAGAGTGTTTCTATTTACCTTAAGTTTAGGCAGAATTGTATACAGGCAATCCCTGGGCTATGAATGTTCGATTTATGTACAACCCATAGTTAAGAATCAATCCCCGTAAGCCTATTATATTAAAAGTTTGACATACATACAGTGGTTCATAGTAACAAACAGGCACTACTTTGTGACATGCATAAAAACATTGTTATTAGGCTGTATTATTATGTTATTTAGTATATCTGGAATGTTTTTGTGTTCCTTTATTCTTTTTTATGCATAGAAGGGTACACTGTATACTATATAATAAGGCAGACATTTGGCTGATTTTAGATACCAACCATTCCTAACTGTTCTGACTTAATGTACAAATTTGACTTAAAGATATACTAAGGAATGGAACTCATCTGTAATCTGTGGACTGCCTTACTTAACCTGTTCTTACCATTTCTCTGGATGAATGAATAATTCATATCTGTTACAACTTCCTACTTATTTTTTTGGTGGAGAATGCCAACATGATCTCTAATTTTTAGAAATTCTCACATACTATAAATGTAACCTTTTTAGAAGTTATTTTGTCAATGTATATAAACATTTGGAATGTATTTACCAGCTATTATAAAGAAGCAGACAGATCTACAAGTAATGATGAAGAGTAAGCTCCAAGATAAATTATTAAATAGAAAAGCAAATACAGAGGAGTGTGCCTAGTATATTTTGTAGTTAAAAGTATTTATGTGTGTTAGCTTGTGCGTAGAATATCTCTAGGTTACAGCAGGTACCTCTGAAGAGAGGAACTGGGAATGATGATGGGGGAGAAGTTAATATATGATTAACATTTTACTTTTTAGATAATTTCAGTGTATTAGTTCTACATATGCTATTATTCAAGAATAAATTAATGAAATTACAAATTAACAAATTTAAATAAATAAATCAATAATGAATACTCTTTGAACCTCAGGAAATAATTTGAACAAGTACACAAAGAGGAATACATGAGAATGTTTAACACAGCATTGTTTATAATAGGGAAAATTTGTCAACATCCTCTAGGTTTGGCTAATCAATTATGGTACATCCATAGTTTTTTAAAAACTCATGATTTTTAAAAACTTTTATGTAGCTTGAAATTATATTAGAAGTTTTAGAAACTTGAGAAAAATTACCACAATTTAACCTCAAACAAGACTTTTTAGTGTTAAAAGTTACAGATACAAATAATTTATTTAAATGTGTTTTTAGTAATAAATAATGGATTGATTCTTTTATTTGTAGTGCACACATATAGTCTTGGACAATGCTTATGTTCTGAGTCAGCATCTAACGAAATCTATCCAAGAGAACCATATCCATATTGTAAACCCAGATTTTATATGGGACTCTATCAAAGAAAGGAGACTCTTGGATGTAAAGAATTATAATCCTAGTAAGTCACTGGACATCATACTACCTCTTGGTCAAAAAGAAAACAGTTCTGGTAAGTATTTGCTTCTTATTAAGCACTTAATAGGGAGCTCTGGTAGCATAGTGGCTAAAACACTTGCCTGCTAACCAGACGGCTGGCGGTTCAAACCCACCAGCCACTCCTCGGAAGGAAGGTTGGGCAATCCTACTTCCGTAGTGATACTGCCTCGGAAACCCAAGGAGGGGTCGCTATGAGTCGGGTTTGACTCGACGGCACATAACAATAACAGCAACAACAAGCACTTAATATATTATAAGTGTTCTGTGGAAAAATCAAATGCCCTTTCTCTGATGGAACTGTAAGGATCAATTCATTTCTGTTCCTTTCTGTTCCACTTCTGTCCTGACACCAGTTGCATATGCAGCATTTCTTCCACTGACCCTAAGTCTTGGAGCTAGGTTATACCTCCCTAGTTATAAGAACAGTCCTCCAGGCTGCCAAGTCTACCCTAGACCTCAGATGCCACCCATAAGCTTGGGAGTTCCCAAAACACTCTCACTTTTTTGTTTTTAATTTTTTATTCTGATTTGGGTGAAAGTTTACAGAGCAAATTTACTTTCCATACAGCAACTCACATACACTTTGTCTCATGACATTGACTGCAATTTCCCACAGTGCAACAGCTCCCCTCCCACTTCCTCCCCATAGTTATCTCTTGCCTGTGTCCTTCCCTCCCATGCATTCCTGCCCCATGAGCTGTCTCCCTGTCCATACACAGCCCTTCTATTCTCCCTGATTGTTCTCTCTAAGGAGCGTATCTGCCTAATGTAAATGTTCAGCTCATATGCCTATCTTTTGTTTGGCTGGAAGCCACAGGAGTGGGTTCAATTCCAGACCTGATGGGCAGCTAGGGGTCATAATCTCAGGGGGTTCCATCAGGCTCTATCAGAGCAGCAAACCTGGTCCTTTTGGTCCTTTTTTTTTTTTTTTTCTTCTAATGATTTTGAGTTTTGTTCCACATTGTTCTCCCACTCTATTCAGGATCTCCTACATAGATCCCTCTCTGAGTGGTTGACAGTGGTAGCCAGGCACCATCTAGTTCTTCTGGCCTCACAGTCATATAGACTGGACACTCTCACTTTCTTAAAGTTATATTTTATTTTTTTAAAATTGTGGATTGTGTGCAAGTTTACAGAGAATGTTAGTTTTCCATTCAATAATTTATATACATTTTGTTTTGTGACATTGGTTGCAGTCTCCTCAATGTAGTGGTACTCTTCCCATTTCCTTCTTAGATTCCCAATTTCCATTCTTCTTCCTTTCCTGTCCCTTCTTGTCTTCTGGGCTTTGTTTTTGGGTAAGTGCTACCCTTTTGGTTGCTTGTTCTGAGAAGTACATTCCTCTTGGGTGTTACTGTTCACTTTGTAGACTTGTCTGTTGTTTGGCTGAAAGGTGATCCCCAGGGTGGGTTTATTTCCAGGTTTGAAGGAAACACCTCACTTTTGATCTACAGGCTACAAATTCAGGGTTTTCCCACTACCCCCTCAGGATGTCCGCCATAAGCTCATGAGTCCTCAGCCTCCCTACTCACTTCCAGCATGCTGGCTGCTACTACTTTTGGTTTATTTAATTCACTAGAATGAGTCACAGGGTTCAGGAAAGTGATACACTTTATGATTACAAGTTTATATAGCAAAAAGGATATAAATGAAGAGATGGATAGGATGGTATCTGGTGGGTTTCCCAAAAGGTGTAAATAAAACAAAATAGGAAGTTTCAGTGTCCCAAAAAGGGACACACTACCCAGGTTTCCATGTGCACTGATATCTTTCACCAACCAGGAAACCCATGCAGCTTTCATGTCCAGAGCATTTATTGGAGGCTTTATTAATAATTCAAATTCTAGACTCTCTTCCCTAAAGTTGGTTGATATCACAGATTTGATATCATGAGGTTGCTATCACATGGTAGATCTTTGTGGCATAGTCAATCCCCACCCAACGTGAGTCATAACATTTAGGTGTGGTCTGGAGTCCTCATCAAAGACACTTCAATCATTGGGGAAAGTCCAGGGCTCTAGAGGTTTTCTCTCAGAAAGCAAGGACAAAGACCAAATTCTTAGGATAAAGTTAAATACAGAAGGTACTGTATTTAACTTAATAGTAACTTTGGCTTGCTAAATATATTATAGACAAAAGATTGGCAAGAAACGCTACAAAAATTAGTTAGGCTCTTTATTTCCTCAGAAAATAGGCAGCAAAAATAATGAAGAGTAAAAGACTATGTTAGCAGTGGAAGTAGATTTCTCAGCATCTAGTCTAGTGTCGAATTCAAAATGACTACAAAAACTGTGATAATCTCAGAAAGGTTGAGGTGTAATTTAAACTTTTGTTTTAAAAAATTATTGCCATGACTTAATGACTGTGGAAATTTTATGACTAGCATTTTGCTAAAGAAGTTCATTCTGAAAGATGATCTCCAAAAACAATGTATCTCTTTTATAAACCAGGATTTCACTTTGGAATCTGGCCAAGAAGAATGCTTTTGGACCTAGAGAATAATTCTGATATTAATTTATATTAGGTATATAATATATGTCAGGAGCTCTGGTGGCATAGTGCCTATGGCATTTGACTGCTAACCAAAAGGCTGACAGTTCAAACCCACCTGCCACTCCTTGGAAGGAAGTTTGGGCAATCTACTTCCCCAGTGATACCGCCTCGGAAACCCAAGGAGGGATCACTATGAGTCGGATCCGACTCAATGGCAGTGAGTTTGGTTTTTGGTATAATATATGTTAGATATTATAATAAACATGTTGGTATCATGTGGCCTTTTTAGACAGACACTCTCCAGAAATGCTGTTATGATCATCATACTTTCTTGCTGTCTCAGTAATTGGTAGCTAAAAGAGAAACGGGGAGAATGATAGATTCCTTTCACACTGAAAACATTTTTCAGTATCCAAAATCATGCAGTCACATTCAGAATTACTACAAATACATTGATAATCTTTGAAATCATGATGGTATAATTAAAAGTTGAAAAATCCTTGCATTACAAGATTTATTCCTTTATACCATAATGCTTTTGGTAAGAAAAATGTAAAACATTGGTGCCTGGCTACCAATGCCAATCACTCAGGAAAGGGTCAAATCTGGAGATCCTGGATAGAGTGAGAGGGAAAACGTGGAACAAAATCCAAAAACGCAATAATGACCAGAATTACTGGTCAGATGAAGTCTGGTGAGACTCCCAATACTATGACCCTGAAATACATTTGGCGCCTGGAATAAAAGTCACCCCCAGGGGTGGCTTTCAGCCCAATGGTTAGTGAGATGTATATGCAGACCACTCAACCCAGGATGCTGCACCCACACAGTCCATGGTAATACATCCCCTAAGGCAATAAACCTTGGGACACCAAAGGACCAACAAAAAAAAAAAAGAAAAATGTAAAACAAGAGTGTCCAGTTTCACATAGGAACCCTTAAGTTTCTCTTCTCTGAACTAGATAAAGCATCTGAGTTTCTTCTTTGTGACATGACACTCAGAACCTTATTCTGACCCTGTAAGGTATGAGAAATGCATTTTATAATATGCTTACTATAATCTTCATAAGAGAAAAATGCCACTCAAGAATTTTATGGGTATCAATGAATTTCAGATAATGCAGTTTACAGTAGAATTTCCCTCATATGCATATTAAAATAGAATTATTAAATGTCTTCTCCATCGTAAGTACTTTCTTCTTTTCTCACTTACATTGCCTTTGGATACCCAAGGTTCGCTATGGGTCACATCCGACTCCACAGCAATGGTTGTTGTTGGTTGTTAGAGCTAATTTAAGGACCCCTGGTGGTGCAGAGGTCAGCTGCTAACCAAGGAGTTGGTGTTTTGAACCAACCTTGTGGCTCCATGGGAAAAAGACCTAGCAGCCTGCTTCCATAAAGATTACAGCCAAGAAAACTCTGTGGAGAAGTTCTCTGTCAAATGGGGTTGCTATGAGTCAGATAGCATAGTGCCTAAAGCACTTGACCGCTAACCAGAAGGCTGGAGGTTCAAACCCACCAGCCACTCCTCGAAAGGAAGGTTGGGCAATCTACTTCCATAGTGATACTGCCTCGGAAACCCAAGGAGGGGTTGCTATGAGTCGGGTCCGACTTAATGGCACGTAACAACAGCAACAACAACAACAACAACATGAGTCAGAATCAACTCCATGGCGTCTAGCAACAATAGCAGCAGTAACAACACAGCTAATTTAAGGACATTAAAAAAAAAATGGTCCATATTCAACAATTCCAGTAGTTATTTACTAATTGCAGTAAATTACTGGTAAACAAATTCTGGTAAACCAATGTTGTCCCCCCCCACCCCAATTCTAGAACTGGAAACTGATGCTTCATCCCTGGACAATTGCACAGAGAAGGAAAACATTGTGGAACTCACCAAGTAAGCTATTTCTGATTGTTAATGACTCTACAAAGTTTACAAACGTGTTTGAAACATCAAGCATAGTATTAAAATACTATTTATATATCAGTAGGGTTTTCTTTAGTACTTTACTTTGCTTTTCTAATTCTTCATGAAATTTTAAATTATTTAAGATCTTTCACTTCAATTACTATAATAAAAATTTTTAGCTTCTCAGAATTAAGTGAGATTGGATGCAATTTTTAAATTAACAGAGTTATAAGTAAGAAAAAACACTGGAGATATGACTTAGGATGCCTACTCACTTTGTTACCTTATGAAATATCCTTTAGTAGTAAAGACATTTAATCACTCCTGTGTTATAGTTTTCAAAATGGAAATAACAACTGTCCTTAAATGGAGTATATTAGTCTAAAGTCCTATATAGTTTCCTAACATGTACCCAAAGCAGCAGTTACTAATTAGGCTTCACATTTTAACTTACTTTGTTTGTTAGTAACAGTATTAAAAGAGAATAAAATCCAAACGGAAAAGTATGAATGACGAGAAGTCTGACCTGTTTATTTTGAAGGGAGTTAGCTATCTGGTGAGTAATGATGCCTTGTCTATAGCTACACCGCATCCCTAAACTGGAGCCTGTCTGCACGCACAGGCCATCTCTGTGTGATGCTTTCTACAATCTGCTGGCCTAGTGCTTTTATATCTTCTGCATCTTCTCCAAGCAGTCCCTCCTTCCAGTGCAGACGTTACAGTGCTTGGAATCAGAGCTCTAGAGTCATATCAAGGAGGAGCCCGCCCATTTCGTTGTTAGCATACCTAAGAGGTGGCATTATGCAAAGACTTACTATATTTTGTAGGGAATTAAGAGGTCTTCAAGAAAAGAAAATTCTGTTTAAAAATCCACCTTAATATTAAAATTTTAATTATACAAATTTCAGGTTTTATACAGAGAATGGTGAAGTTCTTCATTTTCCTCAAGAATTTGAAGTTGCAAAATATAACACCTTGGAAAAAGTAAGAGTTTAATTTCTATTGGAAAAAAATCTTTCTGATTGTTTTCCTGTTCAATAATTTTCTTATTGATTTGAAAATTTGTGTATATTCTGAATAAAAATTCTTTGATTTTTGAGTTGATTTTTAAGTCAAGAAAATTTTTACATGTTAATGTCTAGTTTTTTAGAATTTTTATTATAAAACTAAAGCATGCTTATAATAAATTTTAAACAGTATAGGTATTAATATAACATTAAAAGTAGAATTTCTCCTTGTAATTAATAGTTTCCTGTATTTTAAAATGGCAGGTTTAATACTAAATATTTATACCATGTTACATTTCCACTGCTTTTGCATTTTTTAAAAAACAAAAAGGAAAACACACAAAAAAAACCCCACCTTTTTCTGTGGCCTTATAAATGAAAATCAGTACTACCATTAAAAATATGCCCATTAGTATTTTTAAGGTATCTTAAAATTTAATTTGAAAATAACATTTCCTTCTGTGATAAAGAAAACATGAAAAGTGATACTGTTTAAATACATATGTCTATGATAAAAATAGATAGATAAGTCACTATATATCTAGAGTAAAGAGCTTTGGTGGTATAGGGGGTAAGGCATTTGGCTGCTGACCAGAAGGTCAGTGGTTCAAACCCACCAAATGCTCCATGAAAGGAAGATAAAGCAATCTACATCCGTAAAGATTTGTTGCTGATGTTGTTATATGCTATCAAGTCAGACCCGACTCATAGTGACCCCTCCTTGGGTTTCCGAGGTGGTATCACTAGAGAAGTAGATTGCTCAACCTTCCTTCTGAGGAGAGGCTGGTGAATTTGAACTGCCAGCCTTCTGGTTAGCGGTCAAATGCCTTAGGCACTACGTTACCAGAGCTCCTCTGTAAAGATTTACAGCTTTGGAAACCCAGTGGGGGTTGCTATGAGTTGGAGTTGACTTTATGGCAGTGAGAGTTTTTTTTTTTTTTAAGATATATATCTGCAATAGAATGCCAAGTAATTTTAATTTTTTATAATTTTCTTTATTTTCTAAATTGTATCTCCAAATGAACATATACTACTTTCACAATTCACATTTTAAATGGTTGTTATTTAACTAATAGTTTATAACATAGTGTATTTTTTCCAGATTGGGACAGAGGGCAGGAAGGAAATTGTAGTGGTGGAACTGAAGTGCTTCCAGAAACACTGGGACTGTCCTTTTCTAATAACCGCATGCTTCCTCCTGGCCAATAGCATTGAGGTACTGATCCTTATGTTGATTCCTACGTGTTTGTCTCTCTTGCCCATAATTAGATTCTTTAACAGTGGTTAATGAGCAAACCAATTTTTTACCTGGGAAATCATTTTAGAAAAAGAAATGTGTTTTGTTTTGCAGTGTTGTGGTTGAGGAGGGCAAGGTAATGTGTATCCTGAATGATTGGCCTGGTGACTTCTCCATAGGAAATAATTTACTGGGATATAGAGTGTAGATGGTTCATGCTCATTTTCCAAATCACTTATGAAATACTTTTCTATTTACATTTCTAAAAGCCATTCAGTTAACACACTTTATCAAGCATCTGTTATATGCCAAACAATGTATTTTTTGGTGCCAGGACCGAAAGATAAAATATATGCCACACTCTGACCTTCAGAAATTACCAACTGGAAGGAAGTAAAAGCATTAATAATTATAATCCGTTGTGAGAAGTACTGAAATTTATGTGAAATATGTGGCCTCAGGGGTCATAGATGACCTGGGAAAATCAAGGAAGGCTTTGTGGAGGCTGTCAAACCAAGAGCACAGTTCTACTTTAAAATAATTAAGAAACAGATACAGATTCAGAATTAATACCTAAAGTGTAGCTAAAACACTGCAACTTCCATTAGGGTGTATTCTAAACTAGACATTGAGATTTATAAATCTACTATGGGCTGGGCTGGCACTAGAAGTGTACAGGCCAACAAACACTTTATGTGGGCAGGGCAGTACCAGGCATTTCTCTTCCATGGGAGTGGTCCTCACAGCAGTTCTCACAAGTTCCTGCCCCAAGTTCAGCCCGGGTACAAGGGAAGGAAACTCACATCAAGTGGGTATGGGATCTACACTGGCTTAGAAGTGCTACCCCTCAGGAATCACTATCTCTTGTAATATTGGCATGGATTCAAGATGCCCTCAAGGGACATGCCCAGTTATAAGAGTAACTACTCTGAGGGAAACCCACAGCTAAGACTCCCTACCAGGTGTTTTAATTCATTCATTGAATTCCCAGTCCAGATGTAGTTTATCGATAAGAGACCACTGTCACCTAAGCAGTTTTGCCTAATATTACAGCTGATATTCCATCTTTATCAGTTTTCCACTGGAACAGAGCTAGAGAATTTAATATTAGATTTGCTCAAGGGAGAGAGTTCTGTTAACCTTTTACCTAAAAATGAATATTATGTTTTGTGGAGCATTTAGTTGTTTGAGCAAAAAGTAAATAAAAAGGTTGAAAATCATGATGGAATATAGAATGTTCCATAATTTTTTCTTCATTTAAAAAGAAAACTTTAAGCTACACAGACCATCACATCTCTTTCTGCTTAACGAAACAGCTGTTCCTGGTGTATCAGAACACAAGTGTGGCACTCCCTGGGCAAGTCAGACTCCATAAGAAGAGAAGCTTATGTACCTTGGGGGAAATCATCCTCACCTAACCAGCAGTGAGAGGGCTATTCTGCATATGAAAGTTTTCTAGCTTGCTCTTTTTCTTTTTCAAATCATTTTGATGGAAATTTTTCAAAATTAAATTCACTCTACCTTAATGGAGAGGCTTGGATCATAGTGTATTTCTCTGTCCTGAGCTGTAGAGGCAGTGCACGCCCAGAGACATCTTCCCTGGGGTTAATACTAGGACACCTGGCCATGCAGAGGTTTCTAAAGAGCAGAGTGCCATGTCCCTAGTCAGGCTGAAGCAAGGAAGGACAGAGGTGTGGGCTGTCTGTGTTTCTCCAGAGACCCCCTCACTCTGTGCCTTCAAGAGTACTGCATATGTCCTAATAGTCTTCCTGCTTTTTCCTTGCTATTCATTCTTTTTGATTGTGTGCTTATCTCTAACAGTGCCTTCTTTTTGAAAAACTATTTCTTTGATTTTTCTCATTTCCAAAAACCTAAAAGGCAGACTTCAAACCTTACTAGAATGCTATGTGAAGTGGGAACATGTGGGCTCTGAATGAAAATCTGAGTGATTCCAGTGCATCAGGTGCCTCTTATCTGCTGTTGTGTCTGTTCAACTCCCCTGCCCCTTCTTTGTTTTAGTCTGTTTAGTGAAGAATGGAAGGCTTAAGCAATTACTTGAAAAAAACCTAGTTTCTAAACTTCTTCATGGCAGGGATCTAGTATCAAATGCCTTATATATGTTTTTGTTACCCCATGGGACATGGCGGGTCTTCACTAAACATTGACATGTTAATAAGATAATGTGCATTCATATCCTAACACTCTGAGGTACACTGTAATTCACAGACTACAAGAGAGTCCTTTGGAAAGAAAACTTCTGCAGATGCAAGTGAGTATTATGAAAATTATATCGAAGAGCTGAAGAAACAAGGATTTCTGCTAAGAGAAAATTTTACACCTGAAGCAACCCAATTGGCATCTGAAAAATTGCAAGCAGTAAGATTGATTTTTATGTGTTTGTTCTTCTGGCCATAATAATTTTGTGTTACTCATTTAATAGTTTTTTTTTTTTTTTT